TCTGCAGAAGACAAAAATGCCCAGTGTAGGCCCTTCAGTCTGCCCATGGGCAGCCCCCAGAGGACTGACGCTGGCTGTTGCATGGAAAGGTGCAACGTGGAGCATGTAGCTGGTGCCACAGGTGCCATCGCAGCAGTGGTGCTCTATCACTCGAGCCTACATGGGAGAATTCACAGACCCCCAAGTTCTAATGGTAGCATCCATCACAAATGCACGTACCTCGAGACAGTGAATCCAAATCTTGTTATGCAAGAAACCGGTAGTGGACAACTCTGTGTCTTGTACTTCTTTATAAAAGAGATGGTGTTCATGCTTCATGGAGCTTCACGCCATATTTCATATTCTATAGCTGCACACACAGATCTGCCTGCAGTGGCTATGATTGCACAAACATGTAATAAGGAGTGTTAAGGACACGCTTCAGTCCGGAAAGTCATTTAAAATCCTGAGAGGAGAACATAGTAGCTACTGAATTCTCTGACTGATGGTAGCTCAGTGAAACTATATTTGTTACACTCAAGCATGTGACTGGAAGAATAAGTGATTCCCAAAGGACTCGTCAGGAACAGTCCGAAGCTCCAGGACAGATTATTTCTTTTAGAAGACTGTTGACTGAGTCCACCCATTGCTGGGTCTGGTGCAGCTTCTCTTTTATTCTTGGCAACCTACCATCCCCAGTTTTCTTGCAAATAATTTACCACACATTTGAGGTGTATCATGGTGGGAGTAAGAACAGGGTTTTTTCTGAACAGCTATCATCCTTCAGCTTCTGGAAATCTATAAGTATATTCTCCTTTGCAAAACTGCTCCATACAAACACCCTCCACCCACCCACCCCCCAATATACTACTGAAGGTAAATATGCTCACTGTTAAAGTCTACTGGAGGGACAGGGCTCTGTTCCAATATTTTCCACAAATAGAGCTAAGGAACTAGCAGCATTGGGGAGCACCCCAGCTAGCAGATGTCAAACACTGTATCCCACATACTAATGATAATTTTGACAAGACTTTTGGAAGGAGAATATTGGGAATGGAAAGAACACAAGTTTTCGATGGAGGGAAATAGCGTTCACATTTCAATAAGCTCCAAAAATGCCTTTTTCAAACAGAGGTGCTTTGTATTATGCCATTCCTGTTGGCCATTTGGGGCTTTTTCATTAGATGTATGAACTTCTTGCCATAGTAATAAAGGTCAGGCACTATTGTGCCTCTTTTATGATACTGACTAGCACAAGTCGTGTATACAAACCCAGGAAGTATTTATTTATGTGTAATACATACTTAAATAGTGGACTACAAATCATTTAAAGATGCCTATGATATGAATCATACCACAATTCCATGGATAAGTGGAAACATTATGCAACTTATTGAGTTTTTAAAGCTCTAACGAATGTGAACTACACAGCAGACTTGGGCTGGACCTTTTCACCCCTTCTAATATATGCTGTGGCTATTTAATATTCCTCACTAGGGAGTAATGCTGGCATACAAGTCAGCAATATATTAGGCACTGGAGCCATGAACCTAGTGAGAACATAAACTAAACTGATTTTCAATATTGGTACATTACAAAAAGGACTATTATTGTGAGGTTAGAGATGTCAAAGTTGGTGACCTGGTATAATGAAGTATTCCCTGCCACATAGTCAAGCATGAAAAGTAATTGGAGGCGGTATAAACTTTTAGAGGCTTAGTGTTTTTTCCCTCCCCAATTAAATATTCCTTTGCACACACTTTTTTTTTTTTTTTACATTAAAAATAGTAATTTTTGAGAAGCATAAAAGCAGAAAAGATGCTCCTGTAAAGTTTGCAGTTGATGAAGAAATGTGTTTAGAAATGAGGTCACATCTTAATGCTTGAGTTACTTACATAAGGCACTGATGAAAAGCGAGTTTCTACCTGCCAGCTAGGAATGACATTAAAATATTATGGCAGCATGTGACCAGCTTTAGAGCTTAAAATCTTGAAAGGACACAGACAATGTCCCCTTTGAAGAACATTCCTGAAGATCACTTTACAGTTTCTGCTAAGCTTTAAAACACAGAGTAAAATGCCGCATGTCTAAGCAGCAACAATGAAAATTGTTACTTCATAGCTGCAACGTTTACATCTGAAAAACCACCACTGAAATCTGCACAGGTTTTTTTATCTTGTCTGTTAGAGGAAAAGGGTTAGCATTTAGTATAAGGAATGGTGTGTTAATACTGTGAATGTCATACTTTTCATTATGGCTCCACATCCCAAATTACTGCACTGGCTTTGAGAAAGTTATTCCTGATTTCCTCTGGCAGAAGCATTGCCTGAGCTGGCATCGCATCATTCCTCAGGAACTAGACTGCAGAGGGCACTCCTATATAAGAAGGAACTGCAGCCTCCAGGCTCATTTACTTTTAGCCTAGATGATTCATTGTTATTTTTTCTTGTTTAATAATTAATGACACTATTATTACACTAAAAGGAAAATCTTATTATTCTTGACAATTGGTTTTGTTATGATTATTTAATTTTCCCCCCCAAGTTTATACAATTACAATGTCTGTCAGTGCTCATATCATGTTCGGGTCATCAGACTCAGAAATTAAATGTACACAGAGGGGTGACCTATTAATATACCATCCCTAGGCATAACTTGAGTGAAGCAGCACAGGGAGTACATGGATGAGGATGGAGACAGCTTTTGCCATGTGCCAGGGAAGTCAGAGAGCTTCTGCCTGAGGCAGGCTATCCATGGAGCAGTACGAAAGCTACTTTTTCCTTCCTCTTGTCCTATCCCTGGGAAGGTTTTTTGGAAGCATCGCTTTGGTCTGGATTTCAGCTGTGACCGCAAGGAAAGACGAGCCTCTCAAACAATAGGTCCTGAGCCTTATAGGGTGGGTTTCTGCCCCCTGAACTGCTCTTCAGGATGGGGCTGGATGAACAGGCTTCAGCTAAATGTGGCCAGAGATCTGCGGTTTGCACAGCACAGCGGAGGCAGGGGGGTACAAAGCATGTGGCAGAAGCAGTGCAATATAGACTGGGGACTCTCTGAATAGTGGGAAGCTGGGTTAAGGCTGCCATAACCCAAACTACTCACTAGAACTGTTACACTAGGCCATTAAAACCCTGTGATATCTCAAGATTAGGAAGAAGCAAATACTGTAGTTTATGGCTACTTTAGCCTCACCCCCTCTTCCCTTTTTATGAATTAGAGGTAAAGCCTGTAATGGCATCATCCAGCATCTCAGCCTTAAGGCTGAATATTTTAAAGCCAACAGAATTAATTCTGGAAGTTCAGCTGGAGACTATGCAGCAACTACATCGCAGTTTAAATGTGCTTCCAATATTTAGCTTTGTTTAATGAGAACAAGTCCATACTAGCTTTGGCTTCTTCTGCAGGGGATACAGCTCATGTATCATCCAACCGACAACAGAAGGGTCATTTCGTTTCCTGTGGGTAGTGGAAAGTGATCTGCCTTTTCACACTTACTTCTGGAAACTTGTCACAGGGAAAGCGTAAGATCAGGCTAATGCTGTGCAAAAGAGCTGACTGAGCAAGGATAGCGAGACCTGGCTGTCGGAGCAGCAAATACACTTCCACAGCTGAGTCCTGAATCATGTTTATTTTCAAACTGAAGACCGCACATTTCAAATGAGAGATTTGTTCAGTAAAATGCATGCATTTCATATTTCATTACCACATGCTGTATATCTCATACAGTGGTTAAGAAATGAAGGAGTGTGGAAAGGACAGTTATTTGGGGGAGCTGTAACCATAAAGATTCCACTGAATAGGATTTTCCCTTGTTCCAAACTGTTATCTCACTAGATAAAAACATTGTGCTTTATGATTAAGCTAATTGTGTTGGACAAGCCAGTCTGCAGCACTAGAAGCCTGGATTTTCAAATGTGCTGAGTACTGGCAGCTGCAACCAAAGTCAGTGGGGGCATTTAAAGTGCAATTAAATGCGAAGTTCTCTAAAAATTCAGGCCAGAGGCTGTCTGTAAAACAGGAGTAGAGATGCTGCCTCGCCTCACAGGGGTGCTGTGAACATTTGTGGCACAGCTACTTACACTAACTAGTGAGAAGTTATACTGAAAAGTCGTTGAAAAAAAAATCTTTTTTCAGAGGAGGGTTTGGCTATAAAGTAAGGCCTTGACCCACAGACTGAACAGTGAAGAGGAAACAAACATGTACAGCTTGCCCATTTGTAGCCTGAATGGATGAGAGATCATGCCTCCTCTCTCCCAAAATAGGTTAAAAATCATAATAGATATACTACATGGACTGAATTAATGTGCAAGCATGTCTAATTCTCACATTCCCTAGGGCATTCCCTGCTGAAGGGGGTGTGTGGTATTTTTTAAAAAATATGTAATATATTTATAAATATAGGTAATATGCATAAACAATGTGTATTTGAGTAAGAAATCTTTATAAATCATCCAGTGAAGGGAGATGAAGATGATTAAGGGACTGGCGCATCTGACATAAGACGTGGGACTGTTGAGCCTGAAGAAGAGAGGAGAAAGCTCGTGGTGAGAATCTCATCAATGAGTACAAATACCCAAAGGGAGGGTGTAAAGAAGACAATCTTCTCAGTGGTATCCATTGAAAGGACAAGAGGCAATAGGCACAAATTGAAACATAGGAGATTAAGAAAAAATGTTAGAAAAAGCATTTTTACTACAAGGGTTCTCAAACACCGGAACAAGTTGCCTGGTAAAACTGTGGAGTGTCTGTCCCTGGATGAGCAACCCTCTCTCGTTTGCTTTGGTTTTAGCAGGAAGTTGGACTAGATGATCTCCAGAGGTGCCTTCCAACCTCAACCATTTTGTGATAAGCAAGGTGATATTTTTTTCCAATTTCTTCTTTGTTCACTTTCCTTGAAGTACTCGCAGAATAGATCAGTTTGTATCCTGTTCTGGTTTGGGGTTTCTGCTTATTTTTCTCCTTTATCAACTCTTTTACTTTTGTGGAAGCTGCTCTGTAATTTTACAGGTTATTGTAGTGTTCTGCTAGGTCTCCTGAAGTTATAACTTGTTTCTTCTTTTGTGAGTGAAGCTTCAGAGCAACATCACTGAGTGGCCCACTGGGAAATAAAAATTAAACAAAATATAGCATAGAATATAGCAGAAACTGAAATGAAACTATTCTCCCTAATGTCATTACAGAAGAAACTGAATCTATTTCAGTGTACTTTTTCAACTGAACAGGGAAAACCCTTGTCATAGGTGAGGACTAATTTGCCTGTAACTATCTATAAACTGAAGAAGTCACCAGGAATGAGAGCTGACATCTTAATAATAGTGGTAAATTGAAATTATTATATAAGAACAGAAATTTGTAATTCAGATCATTTGGGGGAGTGATTCTAAGGAAATAAACATACCAAAGTTGAAACACCCATAATAACAATAATTGGAATTTGCAGTAAATATTGCCCTGCAGCCTGCTGTTGCAACTGAGACAGTTTTAGATGCTATGACACAATGATTTATACACTTCTCTTCCTAAATGTTAGAGTAAAACTATACTGTATTGCTTTAATATATTTCCTACTTTTCCATGAATGGTTGTGAAAGACCTACTCATTTTACAGTAGTTTTTTGACAGGTTTTTCAAATTGTATTTAACCATATAGTGACTGACATGACATAAACTCAGAAGTGTGCCCTGCTAGGGTGATGGGAACATTTTTAAATACTGCTGCATAAAGCATGGAAATGTAGCAAGCCATTTAAATGATTAACACAGTTACTATTAGCAGGATAGAAAATATTTACAGAATAATTCTGTACTCTGTTATTGTAATATCTATTCATATTTGGATTGTGGTAACATTCAACACAACTGCAAAAAAAAAGGTCAAAATCTATAAATACTTCACAGGCAACAGAGACAATACTATGTCACATTGGACGTACTAATTATGCAAGATCCTGAAACTAGTTACCTTTTTTTTTCTTTCATACTTTCTGGTTTTCTTCCCCCTCTTTCACATTACTTTTTTGTTACTTGTTCCAACTGGCCTTCATTGATATTTCTTGGGGGTTTTTTAGGACTCTGGAACTGACTGGTATATTTATATCATGTGAGTATGTAATGAGTGTTATTAGATCATCTTTTAGTTCATTCAAAATTCTAAGTAGAATGGATCTTCTGTACCTTATCTGCCCAGTTTCAGCAATGCCTCAAGCACTGAATTTTTTTTTATAGTGATATTCAGGCTGATATTCAGACTCATTTTCTTGCATATTTTGTTTTACTCCTAAAGATGCTGATGAGAAGGTGCAAATTATCACTTAATTTCTTCTAAAATCTAGCTTCAGTATCTGTACCCAGCTTTATTCTGCCTCCACATTTGGATATTTTTTGTTCAGGAATAGGGAATAGAAGTGGGGTTCAACAGATATGCTTATAGTATTGTAACATCCCTTAAGAGTGCTGGGTAATGTGCTCACCTTGTTCTTTACTTCTTTCTACTCTGAGGATTCTGGAAGAAGTCTAAATTCTGTTAGCTGTTATGTGTTGGGATTTTCTCCACTCCTGCAATATGAATAAACTAGTGTAATAAATCTGATAATGAATCTTCTGATTGGAATGCTTCATGACATTATTATGCCACTTCTTATGTCTATTGACCATATTAGTATCTGTTGAGGGAGATTAGGAGAGAAGGTATAGATGCAAGGGTTTTCTTAAGTCCTTGGAGGTGGGAGATAAAATGGGACACTGGCAGTGGAAAGAAAACACACAGAGATCTCTTACTCCCCAACGAAAAGGCTGAGAAGCTTGAACCAGTATTTTCTTCCTTTGAAGAAATCTACTAATGACAGGTCTTCAAGATCTCACTTTTCCCAATATCCTGAGCTACAGTAAAGATTGCTGTATTTGGTTAAAGCCTGTTTCACAAATGAAGACTTGTAGGAAGAACTAAGGTGTTTTGTCAACTCCTTTCTGGGCCATACATGACAACTCAGATCAGGACCAAACCAGCCAATTTAGAAACAGCAGATAAAGGACCCAGAAGACAGTTTACATCAAACATATTATTTTTATGATAGTTGGAATGTTCGAGGTATTTATGAAATCCGGATAGAGAAATTAACATTTCTGAAAAATCCTAGAACAAATGATGAGGAGTGGGATCATGCTGTGTTGTATAATATTTTCTTATATAAAAATATTTTCCATTCTCTTTTGTAGGACTTTTATAACCCAAAGGATTCTTGCAAAAATACAGAGCATTATTGTAACAATATAGAGGGAAATGACACATAGCAGAATGATAATTGCTTACCATGAAGTGTGGATTGAAATGCAGTCAATGCATTTGCTTGCTTCTAACTTTTGAATGAAGGCATGAAGTCCGTATAGTGCAGGCAAACTTGCAGGCAATGTTTCTGTTTCTTCTCCTAGTACTTTTAAAGTTCAAATGAGTTAGTTATATTCAGAATGTTAAACCAAAGAGATAGCCCATCAAAAATATATCTCTATCAAAAATATTTCTCCACCTAGGTGACATTGGGGGACATGCACAGAAAAATATTTTGAACATCATCATTTGTACTTCAAACACACTGGACACGATGGCTGAAAGAAGGACCTCAGGTACTGTGTAATCACATAATAAAAAGTAGTTCCTGTTCTAAATTTGTGTTTTAAGTACATACATCATAGAGCAAGGAGAGGGAGGAGGAACATCAGACTGTGGCTGGAAAGTGAGTCAAGAAAGGCTGAGTGCCTGGCTCACTATCTCTCAGGAAGCTGTACCAGCAGCAGGAACGGCTCTCCCCAGAATGTCAGCCAGCACATCAATAGCATTCTCTTTAGTAAAAAGAAAAACTGGAAGACAAATAAGTTGGCTAACTTTTTATCTCCCTTCAATGAGAGGTTTAATTCAGTTTCAATTTGAAGTTCAGATGAAGGTTGAGTCTTGTCTTATTTTATCTAAATGAGTTCATCTGTCTCATATCACAGTTTTACTTTGTTATGCATTTTAGCCTTCTGGTCTTTTTCATGTGAGGTAGTAAATACTGGCTCTTTTCAACAGTTGAAATGTCAGGACATGATCATTTTGAATGTGCTAGATGAAATCTGTGAAATGCTGCATTTCTTTTTCAGTGATCTCTGGAATGAAATCACGGTTCATAGGGCTAGAGGACTGGAAGTGACGTCCAGGGTCACTGAGTCTGGTGCAGTGAGTGCAGCCCAGTGCACAGGCACTGCAGTTTATAATCCCTTTCACATGCCCACAGACTGCTGAGGGTTTTTGGTGTGGGATTTTTTTTTTTTGCCCAATGTTTGAACACTTCACTGCAAACAGACACTGGATTAGGGAACAAGATTTTGCTCTTCAGTGGAGAATAAGAGTCCTCAAACAGAAAAGAGCTTGCAGTCATATTTTATGTAGGTGGCCTGGGGTAGGGATATTGATGCTGGATTCTGCCTCTTCTGTCAGTGGGCGCAATGAGATCCTGACTCCAACAATATCCCTATCTCAGGGATGCTGCCCACCTTATCTTTCTGCATCTCTGTTTCCCCATCTGTCCCTAGGAACACTAAATGTAAAGTGCCTTCAAATCTGCTAGTGAAGAGCTTTATATAAGAGCTGCATTCAGTCTGAGGCAGGCCACAGCAAACCAGGCAGCTTCAGCTTGTTATTTGTGGGTACTTCACCCTAAAATAAAAATAATCTTGATCTGCTCTTTTTTTTTTCTTTTTTTCAGCAGCAGTTTAAGTTGAAAGGTCACTTCTTTCTCTGGTATCTCAAGTTCTGTTTTTAAGTAGTTTCAAGATATATCATGTCATAGGACATCAGATACTACATTCCTCCACACTTTTTAAATCATTGGTTCTTTCTATCAGAAAGTAAAATTCTGTTAGAAACCCATTCAGGTTTGCTTTCTTTTGAAAAAAAGAGAGGCTTTTATTTTACAAAACATTTCATCATCCAAGGTTTATTGACATCTATGAGATTAAGTTTTAGACAAACGGGATTTTTAATAGGGATTTATCACTAACTAAATTTGATCTACAGATTCTCTCTTTTGTAAGAACTAAGAAATATTTTTCAACATCCTCCCTTTTTTGATGACAATCAGGCCTTTTTTGAACATAATGGAATAATGACATAACCTTCATTATAACATCACAAATGCTACAATATAATACATTTGCTTAAGTCAGGGAGAGGGAAACCAGACCAATTTATTATCGCCTGTTGATTCACACTCACATGCTGTGCAGTTCGTGTGAAGGTCCCATTTACTTTTTCACATGAACTGCCACAGCATGGTTTAAATAGAGATTTCTCTAGCAATAGTGTTAAGGTTCCTCATTAACATCATTTCTGGAGTCACTGGGCCAAGTATATCCCTACTACAATTCCACTGATCTCAGTGGGGTTATCCTTGAGATATATTTGGTCCATTGTTTCTACAGAATCCCTTTGTTCTTTTTTGATCTCTTTAAGAATTTTGTTACTTTGAACATTTCTCACAGAGCAACTTATCATGCTGAAAAGTTTGCAACATTTATAAGAAATTTCTCAGGTATTTCTCTCTATTTGTACACCAAAACAAGACATATCCAATAACATTTATATTTATTACTTTTATTTTATAATCTATACATCTATTCTGTTTTCCAGGAAAATCAATAAACTTAAGTTTTTCCTCTTGTTTATTTATTTTTTTTTAAATTCCAAAACTTCATGTGACTACCAAAAATAATCTGAGACAGACTGCAGATGCATTTTGCATTTTCGGCCCAGCTCTATCACTTGCAATTTTTGGAAACAAATAATGATTGAGTAGTGATGCTCCCAGGCCAATGTATTCTCACACTGAAAACTCTAAGCTTGTTTGATGTTCTATATCAGTACTGAATGTTTTTCTTCATTAGGTTTTATTTTGATTTTTTTAATTTCCATTATGAAAAAATGAATGCAACATTAAAAAATGTTAAAATCGACTGACATACAAAATTTCATGAAAGTTAGATTTGCAGTTAATGACCATTTTGTACATTATACATATACATGTGATTTACATAACTTAGATTTTCACTCAGGAGAGTGAAAAGTCTGGTTAGGGAAGACAGCATACCAAAATGAAATCATCCCTCTGATGAATGGTTGGGTAAACAGAAAACACATCTCATTCTCAAATTATTATCCTTATTCCTTTCTGTATATTACTGCAGTTTTGCATAGGCCTTTGGTAGACTCACTAATTTATATTAATTTTCTCAGCAAACTATGAACTCAGCACATTAACCGCTTTATTTGCCTTTGCATTCAAAGACTCTGCCAGTTATTACAAAGATAATACAGATAACACACAGAAACTAAATCTGTCTTTCACCAAATCCAGAGGAAAGTGACTTGGACTGGGACCCCTGGTTCCCTGAGCTCATACTTATCTTGCTGTCAAGATCTTTTTGTTCTCCAAACTCTTGAAATAATTAAGTCCCACCATGAGATTGCATTCTGCAGGGAACAGCCTACAGGCTCCAGAGGAATTAAACCACTGCTTCTTAACTGCTGCTTGCAGAAGTAACATTTGGGTCTGATGATAACAAATGAGGTTGGAAATGCTAGCATGGAAAGCTCTGCTACCAGCATGGCCTTTACACACAGACGGGTGCATTCAGGAAAGTGCCGGAAGAGAAGCGCACCTGTGAGTTCATTACTTAGTCAGATACAGGGCTGTGATTTTTTGCAAAACTTCCAGTCCCTTTGAGTATGTTAGTAACATTGAAGGCAGAAAAGATACTGCACCTAAATAAGGATGTGAAAAACTCTTATTTAAAACTACTCAGAAGCAAAGCTTGTGTTCAAACTGCACACACGATTGGTTTATGTTTATAGAGATTTATGTGTGAGACAGAATGGAAAAATGTAATTTTGTTTTATTTAACGTCTCTCTCAAAATCCTAAAGACTGCTTTTAGATGAATTAGGTGCTGGTAAGTACAGTGACTATGTAGGCAAACATTCACGGCCAAGCTTCAGTCAGTAACAGCCCTGCATGTTATATTATGTGCTAAGAAAGTGAATGTTAGTTAGAAACCTGGGGTTGTCCCTGTGCTCTTTTCAAAAGTGCAGTGTGATCATTTATCTACAAAACACTGGAGCTCAGATAAGGAGCTGAAGGTCTTGTCTGAAAGCTGGTGCCTTCAGGCAACACCTGGTACATCACTGAAGTGTTTGTATTATTATACAGCTCCAATCTCAGTGTGTTATTCATGTCTTCCTCGACCACAGATCACTGAGACCAAATGGCAACCTGTTGAACCATATTTTAACCCCGATCTTCGCATGCAGAGGTGTCCATGAACAGAATAAATTCAGAAAATGAGGCAATAACCTGTAGTCTCCATTTCTTGATCAGATCCTGGAATTTCCTTGCATCAGCATCAGTTGACTTCACAGAGAGTATATGAAGTTATGATTTCATGTCACATAACAGCTGCTCTTGTGAAACACAGCAGAACTTCCTGAAGCTCGAACACAGAAACAGGACACACAGTGTG